TGAGCAGTATCTCTTTTTTTTTTTTTTTTTCTGTTGATGTTATATTGATTAATCCTAGCATATTTCATAGGTGCCAATACAGCTAAAACCATAACTTCTTTATTTAACTCTGTGTGCAGCATGTAGTCAATTGTGCTGCTTTAGTTTTAGTCTCCTTGTCTGCAGTGACATGTCCTTGTACTAACTTGTTTTCTATGCCTAGTTAAATAGGCATTTTGCCAGGCCAAACTGCCCTTTTTTTTTTTGTATGTAAAGCCTGCCAGCCTGGGGCTGGTCTGACCCAACTCAACGTGCAATGGAGGGGCTGGTTGAGGCACAAAGGCATTCCAGTGCGCATGTAGACACAGGGATGTTTTACTATGGAGCTAATTGGCCAAATTGCAGTAGATGTCTTGTGTAGATGTGCCTAGTTGGTACTAAACTTATTTGAAGATGATCTTTAGAACATCTGGTAATAAATATAACAATAAAGAGGAGCAAGCATGGCATTTACAACAGACTTATGTTGATGTCTTCTGACTGCACTGCTATGACTAGTGATCAAAGCTAATGTTCCATATGTTTAATACATGTGGAAAGAGCCAGAAAACTCAAAACATTGTGAAGTTGTAAACTGGTAAGATTGTGAAGGATTAAACCATGTGAAAGTCTTTAAAATCTCAGTGGTGTTAGCATGTATGAACTGTAATGTTCAAGTCCTCTGCCATGTTATGCAATATTGAAGTTAGTTCATGCTGTGAGCAGTCTTGTTACAAGCTAATACTCCCTGACCTGCACAGCTCCAACTTGCCCCTAGAGCAGGGGTGTCAACTCGATCTGAGCCCACAGGCTGCATGAGTGGCACAGGGCTAGTCCACAGGACTGATCCGGCCCACAGACTTGGCTGGTCCAGGGTCCCAGTCCAAGCAGGTGTAGCACTAAGGGCCAGTTTATGGGGTGCCGACCTGGATCTGGGTTGTAGGATGTGTGTGACACCCCTGCACTAGACAGTTGGCAAGCATGGGTGTTGATAGGACCTGCCAAGGCTCCCCATGGTTGCTTGGCTCTGTCAGTCTGAGGCAGTAGAGTTCAAGAGGATAGATGACCTTCATGGGGTGGATTGGGGAAGCAGTGCATCCTGGGATGCTGGAGGACTGCAGATTGCTTGTTATTGTTCATGTGGACTGGCATTACAGCATCATGAGCTGCTTAACACCAGCTAGAGATGCTTCTCACCCAAAGTTGCATAACTTTGAGATGCTCCGGTGGCACTTAGCTCATCTTTTCCTGCCTTAATGCCTGGATGCTTCTGCCTTGAGAGCATTTTAACACATGGGAAGGGTAACATCTAATAGTACCCTTAGCGTCACAAGCTAGTAGAGAAGAAACTTCATAGAGTTTTAAGATGTTGGTCAGAAAAAGCTCAAAGCAGAAGAGTAGATAATGCAGGTCAGGGACCAACATCTTACTCCAGTAAAACCAGGTGTTAACTTATGACTGGGGGTTTCTTTAAGTAGTATTCCAACATTCTTTTTAGAATAGCCCCTGCACCAGTTCATTGTATAAATGATAAAATTATCTTTGAAATGTAGCAAAGGCTATTCTCAAAGTTTGTTGGAATAAAGGCTCCTGCTAACCCACAATCATAAGTTAACACCTGTTTTCACTTGGGGGTGGGGGGGAAGGAGCCTCTCCCCTTTCAGTAAGCATTTGACAGGTAGTTCTGTGATGACTTGCCAAGCTATATTAGAAATTTTAGCATGTTGTTCTCTTGCTTTTGAGCTTGTGGTATGCTGAAGAAAACTTGAATGTAGTCTGTTTAGGCTAGGTTTTCTGATTTTTTTCCAAGAACAAAGTCTTGGAACACACAAATCTAAGTTGTCACTGAGATGACTTGCATAAACTTGTCACTTCTTTTGACAGAGGTGGCCTCAGCAATGTGCTATTCCAGTGTTCATTACCTGACTCCGTAGAGACGATTGCAGATGAGCCACGAACAGTCCTCCTTCGTCTATATGGTGCAATTCTACAGATGGTGAGTATGTTGAAAGCTTTGGGAGTGGGAGGGTTTCTGTAGCTTAACCTTAGAATGTATTTGAAGAGCCCTGAATCAGTAATGCGTTGTAAACGTGTTGCTTTTACTGTTTGGGAGTGTCTTGGTGGCAGGGTTGATCTTAAGGTTAATATAGTTCATATTGGTTTGTTGCTTAGAAAATGTACTTCTGTCTTCAAAAATCCTAACTGGTGTGTATCAGCTGACAGAATCACTTGATGCTGGTTTAGTCCATAACATTTGTTTCTGGTGTTAAGTTTGGAGTATGGTATTCCAAAATAGTTATTAACCCTGCTTTCTTGTAACTTGTAGGGTTTTGCTTAACTAGCAAGATTTCAAAGGACTAAACCATCTGGAATCCTTTTAAATCTTGACATTGTTTTTATGGACCGTTCTGAGGTTGAAGTAGAAACTTTGTTGAACATACTGGGAATACTCTCTAGGCAATTTCTTAGAGGTCTGAACATATTGTATGTAATACTGTAAAACTTACTGATCTACAGTATTAGTCAGAACCGAACACAAGTTCACAATGCCCTGTAACAATTCCAAAATATTTTGCAGTTGTGCTGTTATAAATTTTTAATGCTGTTTACCTGTCAAAAGTAAGCTATAGCTTGTAAAAAGTAGATTTGGGAGTTAATGGCCGTTTCCAGGTGAGCAAAATAGCCTGGCTTTGGTATCCATAAATTTAGGGTACTGTCAGGTTCCCAGTCACTTGCCTTGACTAATCTACTGGAGATATTGGATCAACTTTAACTACTGAAATTCTGGTCCATGGTTTCCTTCTGAGCATTCACCCACAGTGGCATATTTCTTCCTATTTAGATGCTGTTGCTTAAGTACTTGCAAAGAAGTAGGTTTGAAGTTTGACCTTTCACTAATGAAAGTCTAAGACCTTTGGTAACTGCTTAACGCTTGTTAGCTTGCCCTACTGTAGCTAAATATCGCTGCAATATGCAAAAGAGCATGCAAAAAATGGTTTGAAACAGTCCAAATGGAACATATCACTACAACAAAATGCATACAGTAGAGGTAAGTTGAGAGTAGTCTTAATTTGATGAATAAGACTTCATTAAGCTAAGCTTCAAACTTTCTGGAAACAAGCTGAATCTATTATTAAAACCAAATCTAGAATCTGTTTTGGCAGCTGGTTATAGAAATTAATACTAGTTTTACCTAAAACTAGTTGACTTAAGCAAAACTGATTGGACTTTTTATTTGGTCTTAAGCGTAGTAATTATGAGTAGGAAAATGGCTGCAAAACTTGCATCTTTGTTATAGAAGAGCTATAAATTCTCCCTTTTAATAATGCTCTGAAGAAAAGTAGCTATGCATTGTAAAATGTGGGGGGGGGGGACAAGAATTGGTTATCTTCCTTTTTTCTTCTAGGGTTTTTCTTAACTTACCTCTTCTGTACACAGCTCACGAAAGAATCTAAAGATGTTAGTCTCTCTAAAACCTAAGGACTAATTCATCTAATTAGCTTTTAAAAGCTCAGTGTGCAACTTTCTAACCTTTTCTACTCTGGGTGTTGAAGGATCTTTTGATATGTCTAACTACCTTTATTTCCATAGTGGCAGTGAAATGACTGCTCTTGTTGGTGCAGTTCACTAAGGGTTAAGTAAGCAGAGAGCCCCCAAGGTAAAACTTTCAGATTGCATTGAGGTTCACAGTTTCTGTCAACAAACACTTGTCTCTTCCAGTGCTACCTCTTTAAACAAGTTAGAACATAAGCAAACTGATTTACTGGGGGTATTTTGTAAGCCTCATCTAAGATTGTAGTGAACTTTCAAATGTTAAAATGCTTCTGACAAGGAGGGGATTTTTTTTATCCAAATTTCTTGTTCTTTTTAGCCTTCAGTTTACTAATTCTTTTCAAGTTCTATAGATATGTTGTAAGGGACTATGTAGGTGAATAGTTCTTCAAGTTTTGGTCTTAACCCTAAAATTGACAAACATTCTTGAGTAAAGTTCTCGGGTCTTAATGGTCACAACTTCCAAGCTTGTTCATTTTTATGACCTGTTGCAGCACTTTTAATGCTAGTAAGTTAAAGTTCTGTTGAAATTGGCGTGCCCAAAACAAGCTATGCCAGCTTCCCTTATTTTTGTGCTCTAAATTGATATCGATCTCTAATAAAATAGATGAAATTGTGTGCTCTTCTGATTTCTTTAATTTGGAAGGAATGAATGCTAGAAAAGTTAGTAGTACCAAACTTTTTTTTTAAATGAAGGGATAGTAGCAGCACAACTATACAAGTTAGCTTTGAAAGAACCAGTTTCTTGCAAATTTTTAAAAATAACCCCAGTTTGCTTATTATGAATCATGGAAGAAACAAATGTTCGTACATAAAACTCCATTTAATATAACCCATGCCAGTTAGCTAAAGCTGCCACCTGGGGATGGCTTTGCCTCCCTCTGTCATAGCTGATATGTTAAGCCAAATTTCTGTGTGCATGAATGTTTGGGGGGGGGGAGTTGGGTGGGAGAGGCGAGTTGAGTTGGCTTGTCCATTATGACTGGTCTTGCTGGTCTGGTTGTCTAAACATTGAAGACTTCTTTTGAGTAGATCCATGAGGAGACTCTTTTTTTTTTTTTTTTTTTTTTTTTTTTTTTTTTTTTTTTTTTTTTTTTTTTTGGAAAATTTTTT